CAACCTCAGACTCCTGGGCTTAAGTGATTCTCTTGTCTCAGCCTCCCAAGTAGCTGGGACTACAGGCACCTGCCACAATGCCTGGCTATTTTTTGGTTGTAATTGTCATTGTTGTTTGGCAGGCCCGGGCTGTATTCGAACCCTCCAGCTCTGGTGTATGTGGCTGGCACCTTAGCCACTTGAGCTACAGGCACTGAGCCTACTATGGACATTTTAATGATATCAATTCTTTCAGTCCATGAACATACGATATATTTCTGTTTATTTGTATCATCTTCAGTTTCTTTCATCAATGTTTTATACTTTTCAGTATAGAGATCTTTCACTTCCTTGGTTAAATTTATTCCTAAGTATTTTAATTTTGTAGATTTTATAAATAGGATTGTTTTCTTGATTTGTTTTTCAGATGATTTTCTATTAGTATATGGAAATGCTACTGGTGTATGTGTGTGTGTGTGTATGTGTGTGTGTGTGATAGGGCCTCACTACTCACTATATTACAGGCTAAGGAAAAGTAAAGAGAGAGAGAGAGAATAAGTAAAACATTGGAAGATAAAAGTAAATAAATATAAGGTTTCACTATGTTGCTCAGGCTGGAATGCACTGGCTATTCACAGGCTCAATAACAGCATGTTACAGCCTCCAATTCCCCACCGTAAGTGATCCTTCTCTTTCAGCCTCCCTAATAACTACATGTGTGTGCCACCATGCCTACCACATAGTGACTTTTTTTTTTTTGAGACAGAGTCTCACTATGTCACCCTCAGTAGAGTGCTGTGGAGTCACAGCTCAGAGCAACCTCAAACTCCTGGGCTTAAGTGATTCTCTTGCCTCAGCCTCCCAAGTAGCTGGGACTACAGGTGCCCACCACAACGCCTGGCTATTTTTTTTTATTGCAGTTTTCATTGCTGTTTAGCAGGCCAGGGCTGGGCTCAAATCCACCAGCCTTTGTGTATGTGGTTGGCGCCCTACTCACTGAGCAATGGGTGCAGAGCCGCACCTAGTGACTTTTGAATATTGATCCTTTATTCTGAAACTTTATTGAATTGTTTATTAATTCTAACAGTTTTGGGGGGAAGTATTTAAGATTTTCTAAGTATAAGATTACGTCATCTGAAAACAGGGACAATTTAACTTCTTCCTTTCCAATTTGGATGGTTTTACTTTTTTCTCTTGATTAATTTCTCTGTCTGGAATTTCCAGTACAGAAGAGGCAAAAGTGAACATTTTTGTCTTGTTCCAGATCTTAGAGAAAAAGCTTTCAATTTTTCTGCATTTAATAAGATGTTACCTGTGAGTTTGTCATGCACATTATTGTGTTGAGATACATCCTTTCTATAAATAATTTGTTGAGAGTTTTTATAATGCAAGAATGTTGAATTTTGTCAAATGCTTTTTATGTATCTATTATAATCATCATATGTTTTTTTCCTTTATTCTGTTAATGTGACATATCACATTGGGTATATTGAACCATCCTTGCATCTCCGGGATGAAGTCCACTTGATCATCATGAACAATGTTTTTAATGTGCTGCTGAATTGGTTTGCTACTATTTCTTTTCTTTTTTGAGGATGGTATTGGTCTCTTCTTTGGGACAGTCAGCTTTGACTAAATCTAGCTTAAGAACAGCTACTGCCTTGATCAGACCAAGTTCTTTTTGCCTTATCTGGTTCTAATCACAGTTATACTCATATTTTACCTTCTCATTCACAACCTGAGGAGCAAAGCCCTTTAGGATGCACTGAAGTTTCTAGGTGACCCAGAAGACACCTGACTAGGGCTAGCACTGATCCTCCCTTGCATCTTCCCACACTGAGGTTTTTCTCTCTACCCCACCCACTCCTGCCAATGTAGTCATCTACTGCCTTGACTCTGAACAGAAAAGCTGCAAGATATCTCAAAAAAGTTCATGACACTGGGAGTTAAGAGACTTTAATATTTGGATACATTCTAGAACTAATTAGCTATGGTAGTCAATGTGTCTCTATAACATTCTGTCTTATCTGTAAATGATTACTATATCTGGCAGGAATGTTGTAAGGATCAAAATATATAATGCATGTAATAAATGCATGTGCTTATAAAACAGATTAATCTGGGATTATAACTAATCAAAGAAGGAGTACTTTTTGGAGAAACTTTATCAATCTATTTCACACCCCACCTCCCTCTATTTATATCCTGATGAATTACTACCCCTTCTTTGTGCTACCATAGCTTTCCTAAATGATACATGGATGAAGGGATTAAAAACCATGAACAAGCCTTAGTATTGCCCCCTCCCTTCTTTCTCTCACACTCCACATCTCAATCCACCAGCTCCTTCTTCAAAATATATCCAGGACATCCAATTAGGAATAACATGCATGTGAAAAGTAGAGAAACATGTGAATGTCCATTAAAAGGGAAATGATTGAGTATATATTATGGTACATGCCTAAATTCATTAGTTTTTTATTGAAACACAAAAAATCTTAAAGATAAAGTGGTGAAAATCATATATTAAGGTCTAGAAAAATATACACATGACTACCAGTTATTTTCCCTAAGGAGGGATTGTAGTTAGGGAGGTAAGGTATTAAGATACTTAATTTTTAAATGAGAATGGTTTGTGGTAGTTAGGTAATATTTAAAAATAAAAACAACCTGAGTTAGAAATAAGTTCTAGTCCTACTTCTGTCATTAGAATTAACTTAAACTGTGTGTCATGGTGAAACCCATGGCTCAGTGGATAGGGCACCAACTGGCACCGGGTTCAAGCCCGGCCCAGGCCAGCTAAACAATGTTAAGAATTAACTTAAACTGTGTGTCATGGTGAAACCCATGGCTCAGTGGATAGGGCACCAACCTGGCACCGGGTTCAAGCCCGGCCCAGGCCAGCTAAACAATGACAACTGCAACAAAAATATAGCTAGGCATTGTGGTAGGTGACTGTGGTACCAGCTATTAGGGAGGCTGAGGCAAGAGAATCACTTGAGCCCAGGAGTTTGAGGTTGCTGTGAGCTGTGATGCCATAGCACTCTACCAAGTGTGACATAGTGAGCCTCTGTCTCAAAAATAAAATAAAATAAAATAAAAATAAACTTTGCTTCAGTTTCCTCATATGGAAGATGAAAATAGTGATAGTATTTTTTTTTTTTTGAGACAGAGTCTAAACTTTGTTGCCCTCAGTAGGGTGTTATGGCATCATAGCTCATAGCAACC